ATATCTGAAAGAACTCGCACTTTTTGCTAATGATACTGTTACCGTATATCATAACTTTTGCTGGCTGTCCCTAGCAGGTATTTAATCTCAAAGAAATGTTCTGGCTAACATGAAGGAAGCTTTATTTGCAATTGGACTGCTGTAAATAAATATTTTTTACCTCATAAAAAAGGCCCCCTTATTGGCAAGTGGCAGATTAAAATTTCATTGCTTCAGCAAAGGCCACATAAGTCTATCTATAATTAGGCATTTTTCTCCCTTCAGGACAGAGCGTCCTCCAGGGTCAAACACATTGTAGGCAAATTGACAAGACAGGATGAAAAAGCTTAAGGTAACCCTGCTTATTCGATATGAATTTTCGGGAAAAAGCAGATTATTTCATTCACTGCTCAGTTGTACCAATTTTGCTTGTCAAGCTCCCATTTCAAGGAAAGATTGTTTGGTAAAACATGCTTACCTTGGACATGACAAGCCATGCATCTTATTGATATATAGGCTACTTTTAGCAAGCTGTAGCAGGATAAATCATGTCTTCTACTGCCTGGTCCATATAGATTAGTATATAGAACTAACAGCATAGCATAAATAAAAAACGCTGGCATAATACAGAAACAAATATATTAAATCACATCATAGTTCTGCTACCTGAGCCCATACATCTTGAAGTGAAACTAATTAAATTTTAAGGAAGGATTTCCTGCTTCACATTTAGTCAACAGAGCAGCTTAAGGTTGTTTCTCAATCTCAGATAAGGAACCTAACTCAATTTTTTTTCATCTGTTCTTGATAATTTCGTAAAGCTGTCAGCGAGGATGTTAATTGGTGCTAAATATAATTGGGTATCTTCACAATGAAACGGTTTTATTTAACTCAAGCAAACGAACAGGTTTAAAGGAGGGAATTTGGCTCCTGTATTTTTAATATGAATCATTAGCAATGTAAATAGAGTTTAGATCCAATATGCTTGCAGTATTATGAATAGCAAGAATCCCTTATTGATCTTACAGTAGGGAAAGCAATTGTTTTAACTGGTTCCAATTAGTTTTAAATTATTTAATTTAAGACATCTAGGCTGATTTAAGAGTCTGGCCAAGCGCAGAGTGAAAGCAGATTTCATACCTTCCAGCTACCTGCAGCCAAATTCTGTAGTGCACCAGCTGCCCCTTCCAGTGTATCTGGATTTGAGCACTCAGAGAGGAGTGTGAGGTAGGGTTTGACTATGGATGGATGCCATAGCATCTGGATTCCTTTTGGTGGTTCTGCACAGTCAGGGAGAGGACCAACTCCATCCCACTGAAAAGAAGAAGCA